GTGGAAGAGGCAGTTCCTCATTTGTCACGGAAGAACTTGTAGCATAAGTCGACAATGCTGTTCGCGAAGATTGCCACCGTTCACCGGGGATGAACTCCATGAGTGTTTCCCAGAGGCCTCACGATCCATCATTCATGAGATTGTCTCGAAAATACTCGATTGCCGAAAAGTTTGGAACAACCTTTTGGATTAGTTCGGTTAGGATGTTCTGACCCATTCACCTTACAGTCCCTTTGGACTTTCATTTGTTCACCAGAATAATGGAGGGGTAAGCTGGAGAATGTTTCACGGAAAGTGACGAGGAAGTGAAGGAAGCAGTCACTATCTGGACTTAAGCTTATTTCTTAGTATACGACACTTGCACTCATTGAAGTCGCCGGAGATTATGTGGAAAAACAATATAGGTACATAATATCAAGAACATTTCTTGTAAGTTTAATTTGTTTTTCAATAAAAACTCAACTTCTTTTCTAAAAAACAGAACTTCTTTTCTGGTTGACCCTCGTAGTTTGTTCACGGGATTTGGAATTTCTTTCTTTATTTTATGAAGTTGAAATCCCGGAAAATCCAGCCGTAATATGTATGTTCATCGAATCGCGGCTCGCGTATCGCGCTATGGTTCGAGTGTAGGCCGTGCCAGAGCGATGGCTCATTCATATTCATGAGCGCTTAATAACATCTTAATGCGCCGGAACGCCGCGGGACCTCGTAAAAAACAGCCTGTATTAAATAAAGCTACAATAAAACGAAATCCATGGGTCCCATAATTTATGCACAATTTTAATTTGGAACTGTCTTTTCAACTGATTTTAATATTTTCATCTAATTTAGTATTACTTCCATTTCAGTATTAGCATCTAAAATAAAATTATTTTATATGCAATACAATAACAACAAAAAAAAAACAGGTTAAATGAGTAAGAAAGACAAACAAGCCTAGTGGATGTGTGCCTGATATCTCAAGTTCAAATAAAACAAAAACCTTCATAGGTAAGCAAATTACACTTGATACAATTATAAATATGAACTATCAAGTACAAAACAAAGAAGAACATTGTAAAAATCATAAAACCGACGCGAAAGGAAATGAAATTGAATCCAAAGATCATGAATAATATTTTCCTAAACAGAATGTCCAATATTTCCGATCGGATTCGAGGCTTTATGCTGCTCGAACTTTGTCCAACACAATGGAACTATCGCATTCGAAACTCGCCATTGAAGCGTTTGTCCTCGTACATTAGTTATTGCATGCACTAAGGAAATGTTATCGAAGTTTGAGGTGGAAATTGAACCGAAACAGAATTCAAGATCGGCTTTAACTAATTCTCAGTTTTGAATTGATTGATTGCTTTCAGTTGATACTGTTAAGTATTTACTTAGCATTGTCGTGTTGCTTACTACTAGGTGCGTTGGATCACAAAAAAGGAAAAACCGTTTTACTTATGTATTTCTTTATACTCATAGATAGTATTCCAGCGCTAATGTGATCGCATCTCCAATTGCCTGCTTGTTCAAACAGATTATGACAATAATATAGTGTTTGTTTAACGTTTGACATTGTGCAATTCATCCTTTAGCGAAGGTGGCCCTGCGGCAGAACGGTTATTTGACAAGTCTACCGTACGAATTACGAATCTCAGTACGATGTAATAGTAATAAAGATGAATGAATCATTTGTGAGCATTTCATTATTCAACAAAATAATCCTCGATATTACTTAAAATTCGCCATATATCTAGTCGATAGCTGTTACGGCGCCGGCGGCGGGTGTGACGGAGAGGTCCCCAGGCGCTGATTGAATTTAAGCCGGGCCCGAACCATCTTAGTGAACCATATCGAATGGATTTTATAAGTGACTCGACTTACTCAGGTAATGTCCAATAACACCATGTAACCATTACAGATATAGGTACATAGAAACCTTCTGCTTAGAAGAGACCCATGCCCAGTAATGGGACGATAAATTGGTTGATGATGATGGCTTACATACTTACTACCCGCTTATCACGCAATGGCGTAGGCAAAATACGAATCACTGCTTTGCTACTCTCCTGATGCACACTACCACTTTCGCTTCAATCATCCATTTAGTGGCAGCTCCTTGTGAAATGGTTCGTCCAGGGATGTGCTGCCACCTTACCTATTTCTGCCGCCAAGAAGTAATGTGAGCATTACTGCGTTCCGGTTTGGAAGGGTAGGTGCTGATGAAAGTACAGGCACATGGGACTTCTCAACTTATGTCTCAGGGTGACGGGGATAGTGGCAGTGTCCCTCGCATCTTTGTGTTTTCTAGGTATAAAAAAATGTTGAATATTTCCATCTTCACTAATGTTGATGTTTCAAATCTATTACATGAAGTAGCTGAATTGTTGACTTTCAATCTTAACCTGCATATTAAAATTTCAATATGCATCCAGGTTCAAATCACATTAACGATTATTTTGAACAATTTAAATTTTATGTCTTTTGGAAATGAAAGCCAACCCCCACCAGCCACCTAATCGCGGTCACTCGACCTCTACATAACACTCGTATTTATTTATACGCTGTGACAGTGATTACGGTAAATCCCTAACGGTGGTGCCAAGCTCAATCGTGTGGCAGCAACAATGCATAACTGGCGTTAATTGAATCTCCTTTAAACCGAGCGATCCGCATTCAGTTAACTCGGTAATTTTAGTCGCACAGCACTTGAATCGAAAAGTTATAAATAGATGTATTCGACCAATTCAACTGAGAATACTGACCCGACGTCATCAACGTGTGTCTTCTAAAGAGAGTTTTATGCTATAGTCTTCCACGCCTGACCCAATGCGGGTAGCGGACTTCACGCGTTTAGGAGTGAACCTTCTTCGACTTGCAAGTTTCATGTTGTTTACCTCAACGGCTAGCGAGAGTGTTGCTTCTAAATATTCATAAATGTACATAACTTAGAAATTAAAGTCCTGCCGCCTCAGGAACCGTCGACCTCTGAATTGAAAATCAACGGTTCTCCTACTGGGCTATCACTGTTCATAAACTTTAACCATCTACTGACTATTGTCGTACTTTCAACTGTGCAAAAATATCCGGCTGTTCAAAAAACATTTACGTTTCCGGCGGCTACTGTCCCCTTGCATTAATTGCGTCGTACAATTAGGGCTCATCCGCATGTTTGTCGTAAAATTTGCCACAAGGTAAATCAAGGCCGGAAAGGTTCACTAAGGCCCTGTCCTATCCATTGTTTAAACAATTCAAATCCCAACACAGACCTGACACAATTAATATATCGGTTAATGATTAATTTTCGTTACACACGTCGTGTCAAATATTTTGCTATGTTAATGTAAAAGTTTGAATATTGATTCTAGTTGCAAAATGGACGCACAGTTTGCAATAAAGTCTTCGCATTTACCCGTAAAAGTAGAAAACTCAAGAGAATTACCACGTATAACTAGCTATGAAACTTAATTCCTGCATTATTTAAAGGTTTCCCATCAGACTCAATATGTACCAATAGAAGGTATGGTGTGGTATAACGGCTTGGTATCCGCAACGACGGCGTAGCTCCTACTGCTACCTACATAAACTGTGGACATATTTTGTAAATTTCGATTGAGTAGCTAAAAACGTAGCAACCAAATTCTTCCTATAAACTTTTACGAAGTTTGAGAGAACCTTATCTCCATGTGTGTGTTACGTCATTTGAAAAGATAAATAAATAAAAAGGCGTGTTTTTTGCAAGTTACGGGCTCGAATTTTAAAAATAAGTACAGCTACACGCTGTGACATCCTTTAATCTGATGCGGGCTTTCGCGGGTCGTTTATCAACGGGACTCATTATCATCGTCGGGCGCCGACGGAAAATCTAATGGGCCCTTTCAGCCCTTATGACTCCTATTTAAACCAAGCATCGTTACGTCGTGACTTTTAATTTCCTCGTGCAAGGTTTATTTATAGAATGACCAGCATTTACGTTTTGTGTGAGGCATTATATTTTTGACTGCGTAGTTTAGATTATGTCTCAAAACAATCTAAAGCCAGTTCAAAAATGTCTACCATTGGGACAGTTTTCTGTACCTTTGACAAATTAGTACGCTGTTGAGGCTGCCGCGCTACTGTAGCGCATCAACAATGTTCGCAGAAGCGTATATAGATAGATGGCTTCCAGGCCATAAGTCATATGCGACAAACTTCCTTCATCTTCTCCCTGATTGGCTGTTGTAGCGAGCAGAGCTGACAGTCCATTTATTGAAAATGTTAAATCATTGCACGTGGTGCCCTCTAATTGGACAGCCAAATAAGTAAAATATAGGTACGAACATAGTTTATAATGGTTATATTAAATTTGTCAAAAAGAAAATTGTTAAAGTTAATTTTCCAGCAAACAAGGTTGTGTTTAATCAACCATGAACAGGGCCAAAGGTCAACCATGATTCCGCAGCAAAGATTAAATTCCGCTAACACTTTTTTCACTCGCGTGACCCGTATAATGCGATGAAATCCTTCAGTGTACGGGCACAAATCTTTATAACACGTAGTGTGCCCGACCCGGGGTTTGCGGGAAAAGGGTTCTGTCGGTCAGTCGGGTCGCAGCCCATGAATTTTGGATCACGCTCGGTCGCTTCAAAGCGGATTGCGTGTATCAGCACAAATGTTTGCCTTACAAAATACTGCTCATTTTGCTTCTGTCAATTGTCTGTTTACTCCCGAATTGCTATCGTTTTGGGAGTTTGTCGAAACAGTTGATTGATAATTTGGAGGACAATGTTTTACCAAAATACAGATACTTGTTAATTTAGCGAAAAACCCTGCGCAGAAAATCCTGTTATAGCTATAGGCCAGGCCAAAAATGCCGAATAGAGAGATCACTATATAGAGAAATAAACTCTACTTATTCTGAAAGTCCAACCTGTAGCATATACATGAAATGTTATAATTTATAACATTTCATGTATATGCTATAACTTATAAACAATTAAATGATAACTCTCACGGCTGATATACTTTGTCCCCAGATTACTCAGCTTGGACGTATCATCTCTGGAAGATGTGTACTGGCTGGAAGACAAGACAGCGCGGCATGTGCTGCAGCCCTCCGATTTCGGCACATGGTCAGCTGCGCGTCAAAGTCTGCCCACTGGCAAGGAACAACTCACACAACTTAAACAAGATCTGTGGAGCGCCGTCGTTAAGAGCAGCAAGCATCAAGATGCTTGGACGTGGGGTGAGTTCTATTTCTGTGCGATTTAACTAGAAGTAAAACCTGGCATAACAAGGTACGTAATATAACCTCTAAATCCTTATCTTTAGCAGTACCTCGTCGACTTGAAACGAGACTGACAAAACGTAAATGGTGTAAATAAAGGTTAATTATAATGATTTCCAGGCGGCATGTTGGTGGTATCGGTGTCCGTTTGCGGGCTGGTCACGCTGGCCGCGATGACCCAGCCTTCCTTGGCACCAGAAGCCAAGCACTCTTTGCTCCAATACGTCACTGGAAAATATTTGCACCCGTCAAGTTGTAGGGTAAGTCTTTTAGTAGTGTTGTTAAGTTTGTAATTATAGACGTAGCCATCCGCTATGAATTTCTTTGTTATCACCATCAATCCATCATTGTACGTCCCATTGCTGGTCTCCTCCAATGAGAGGTTTTACACCTTCGTCGGCTATGCTGGCCCAACGCGGGAAGGGCCTTCTTCGACGTGCACGTGTCATCACGGTGTTTTGCTACACCGTTAGCAAAAGTATTTAGGTATTGCTACTAAATATTCACAAATATATTGGAAATTCTACCACTGAGCTACCACCGTTCCGGCCTTTTTTGTTATGAATGGTCATTGACCTACCGAAGGTTTATTTTCCTTATTTTCATATGGGATGACAGGTCCCATATCTTTACACTCCCTATCAACCTCTTGGTTATACGGGAAGGGAACTATAACCTGTGCAAACAAGCGGGCACAGGGTACCTACTCAGTCGGGTCTTGACCCCAGATCTGCCCGTTTGCCCGGACTTTTATCTGGTTCGCAAAAGGCTAGTGCCTTGGGTGAGCTGTTCCGGGTGCACGCACAGTACCTCCCTATTTTCCGGGTGGGTTCCGGAGCTGTAGGCACGCTCACTTCCCGTTACGCATTGCGCAACCAGCGGTTCCCACCGCTAAGCCTTTGATTCTATAGTCCACTACCAAATCTCGTCTTTGGTGGCGGAGCTGTAAGGCACGCTCACTTCCCGACGCCGAAAAAGTTCCCAATAACCTAAGCGGCTGGAGGGACCGGAGGGTATCTAGCTCATCCTCTACTAGCTCTCCGGGCTAGTGCCGAAGATGCTGGTCGCAGTGTCCCGCGTCAATGTCCGAACATAGCTTCCGACTTAAAGGGCAACTCATGTGGCCCGCGCGTCTCCTCTCTTCAGGCCCTCGTCAGACAGGGACATTTGGGATGACAGATAAAATCACACTTAGTTGTCTTTTACGAGAAAAGATTTTACGAAGACTTTTACGAGAGGGGTTGCTTTTAAAAATTCAAGAGCGAGGCTCGCGTCGAACACATGCCGGCCCTCGTAGTAGGCAGCGTGCCAAATGTTTCTATTACCAACTTTTATCTTTAAAATGTAGTACCAACTAGTTACGAGTGTAGCTACGATGAAAAAAAATTTGTCTAAAAATATTTTTGCAACGCTTAACATTGTACTTGATGTTTGCGACATCGACAGAATACTAAAATAAGACAGTTGCTTCTCAATCGAGAGGTCGACGATTCGATCCCTTGTAGCGGCATACGTCTTTAAGTTCTAACTCACGTACATTTGTTAATATTTAGCGTGGCTGAAAACTCTGTCCTTAGGGTGTGTACAGGACGTACCGTTCGCGCGCCACATATACTAACATGTTTTTAACCGCACGCATGGAGCACGGGTGCGCACGCGCAACGTACATGCAGCGCGTTCGGGGCGCATTCGCCAGATCTGTACGCACCCTTAAAGGAGACACGTGCCCAGCAGTATGGGTGCACTACGATGATGATAGTTTTCAAATAAAGTTTTTGGAAATATAAATTTGTGGTTACAGGTGGAATGGGGCTGGCAGGAGCCGCAGCAGGTGGGCGAGACCATGTGCTTCACCGTATTCTGCTTCCAGCGCAACGGACAACCCTACCCGATTTGCGACACCGACGAACTCACCGTCAACATCTCGCACGGCACCAGAAAGGTTAGAAATGGGCCTCACTTTGCCCTCCGAAATATTATTCGTGTTTCTGGACGTTCCATGAACGCATATCGTTATGGGTAAGGTCTTCGCCTATCCCGACGTGTAAGGGTCGTAAACTGTGTAATAAGGAACAGTTTTGATAAAGGACAATAGATTTTTAAATCACACTTAAAATTTTCGCATTGATTAAATTCGACTATTCATTCAACTGAGAAGGACGAGTAAAAAATTCTAGGGATTGCTCTTTGTAAACATTTAACATCAACAGACAGAAACAACCTGAAAAAGTGGAACGGGTCACTACCGTAATTTTTTGCCATTCAAATACGCAGAAGCATTATAAATAACCTTCACTATCACATTTTAATTTTACCGTAGTATTAAACCTCGTAAATGGCAAACTTTAAATATCAACAGGAATCTTATTAAAGTATATACGGGCTGTATATATGAAAGTGAGACATATTCATACATGTCATAGAGTCGTATTCTAGAACTCTACTCAATGCTCAAGTTAGGATTTGAGTATGGTTTAAAGCACTCGAAATCATACTCGAATCCTGCCATTAGGGTCGTTTTTCCAGTGCTTATGTTTCAATAGCAATCCTGACTTGAGCATTGAGTAGAGTTCTAGAATACGAGCCATAGTAAATCATGTTACAACTTAACATAGACTAAAATAAAATTAGGATATGGGATAGAACAAAAAATAAATCAACAAAATGTGTTTTGAAGTGTACATAGGAATAAACCGTTTCCCTTTACGCTTGATTTCGAGTGCAATGGGATGTTACCAAGCGAGCGCCGAGTGAGACAGCAACAGTAACAATGATTTCACATTTATGTTTTAGCTTATGTTAATTATTTTTTACTTGAACTATCATCGAAATGTTTTACGTACTAAAAAAAGATAAGTTTATGATTTAGTAATTAGTTTTCATTTAATAAGAATTGAGGTTTTTGGCGTAGTTAAAAATATGAAATCAAATTATTTACAATGATTGATTTTTTAGTTATTTACAGTTTATTTACACTTACGTGGTACGGAGCAAGTGTTCGAAATGTTTACCGTTTTCCACAATGCATAGTCTAGCACGGCATAATAAATTTTGTTTTAAATTGTACAACACAAACACATTATCAAGTCTCACAGTATAAAATGCTGAGATAATCATCTCACGCAACAATTCGACACTGTTCACCTCCTCCGAGTAAACTCCGATTTGGGAACATTTCAATAGCTTGCCTCACACTATCACCACTTATTGCGTAAAATCGCACTATCTCAGGCAATTCAACGTTAGAATAAATATCCGTTTTGCGACAATCGGGCGAGCGGAAGTACAAATAATTTACGTGTCTTCGTTAGATCAAGGTCGCGCGTGCACTGAGCAAGTTCGCGTATGCGCTCGCGCCCCCACCCCCGACCTGTGTTTTGTATTTCTCAAGTAGTAGTCGATAAAAAAATATTTTTTGTCATGTTTAAGTTCATTAGTTTATTATTTCTTTGGGTTCAGAATCAGGAATAAAACGCACTCTATAAGTATGTCCCACTTTCAAATATACAGCCTGCATATGACTTTGTGAAGATTTCTATCAAGAATAGACTTTTATTTTTATTTTTTATACAAATGGAATATTTCAAGGATCGGGGATCGTTTGTCTGTTAAATACTTGCTTGCTTCATTGCAGATAACAGCGGTCGTGGAGTTAGGCTCGGGAGATCCCAGCCAGGCGAACACGGCTCGAGTGAAATTCACCGTGCGGACGGCCGGCGTGTACATAATCTCTATTATGATCGGTACGTTACTTTTATTTATTGAAAATAATCAACAACCTATTAAAATCGAAACGTACATTTATACTATAGCCAATTGCAGATCTTCTATTGGACTTATAATTTTGTCGCAAAGAATACAATATGATATACGAACATACAGTAAGATAAATAGTAATAGGAATGTGTGGTATATGTTCATCAAAAAATGCAGCAGTGAAAGAGAAAAAAAGAGAAAAGGTAAAACGTGTCGTTCTAAAGTGCAAAAGTATGACTTTTTCAAATAACAAATAATTTTAATCATGAATCAATATTTGTCATGGAATTAATTATTTTTTGCTTTTTCTGTTATACATTCTCCTATATCTATTATTTCCTCGCATCGTTTGAGAAGAGTACTGTACTTCAATATACCTCAGCGGGAACGAGGATTGCCTGACTCGTATAATACAAGGTCTTGTTGCACTCGGCCTTGTAATTCATACTCGTTGACAATCTTTTACTAACCGGCTTTTGCTACAGGCTCAGATTGTAAATTGCCCTTATCGCACATTTTTGCAGAATAAGGTTTTTATACATATCGGCTGCATTAACCCAAAGCAAGATGCCAAAATATGTCTTAGCTAAAGTACACGTACCTAGTACTTTTTACATCTGAAAGTTTTCGTATTTTATTAACTGTGTACACTGCTAAAGCCAAGCCATTTCGGTAACTTCGTTATTTGTATTCTCCAACAAGGTTTTTTTTTTTAAATTATAATTTTTGTAACCGTCTGTGTGTCAACGTTAGTAACTTTAAATGATAAGGATGAATCATTAGCAAACATGCTGTCTCATGGTCTACGTCGTCCTCGAGGCTTTTGATATAAACTAAAAATAAAAAAGGACCTGGAACTGAACCTTGCGGGACACCCACGCTAGTTGCAGAATCTGACGGTCTCGTACCGTCGACATCAGTACTCTGCACTCTATTATTAATCGAATACGATTCAAGAAGGTCGAAGTCGCGGCCTGCCGCACCATAATGGCGAAGTTGTCCGACCAGAGTGTGGTGGTGCGGTCAAATGCCTCGGAAAGAACTTAATTGAGCTCTAATGAACGGCGCGGCCGGCAGGCGGCGTGGCGGTGAGCGGCAGCCCGTTCCGCAAGTGGTTCCTGGCGGGGCGCGTGGAGCCGCGGCGTTCGCGCGTGGGCCGCGCGCATCACGCGCTGGTGTGGTGCGCGGGTCACGCGCGGCAGCTGCACATCCACCCGCGCGACCAGTTCGACAACCCCGCGCCGCTCAGCGCCGCCGAGGCGCCGACCGGCTTCTCGCTGCAGCTCAGCCCGCTGGGCGGCGAGGCGGACGAGCGCCTGTCGCGCGCCGCCGCCTTCCACTACGACGCCGTCAACCAGCGCGTGTCCATGACGCTGTGCTTCGAGCGCGCCGGCATCTACCGCGCCGCCGTCTTCTACGACAAGGTGCTGCTGCACAACGGCCAGTTCGACTGCATCGTGCTCACAGGTCGGTCCCCCGCGCCCTCGCGGCCCGCCCTCCCCGGGAGGCTCCCGAACGTGCCCTGTCCGCAGCCGGCGACGCGGCCTCGGTGCAGCGCAACGTCAGCGGCAAGGCGTCGGCGAGCTACGAGGCGCGGCTGCTGGGCCCGGGCAAGCCGCGCCGGGTGCTGTGCTGCGTCGGCGCCAAGCACCTCACGCTCAAGGACTACCTGCTCAAGTTCATCCCCAAGCGGATCACCTCCTTCCGCCTCTGCCCCTCCACGAAGGTAGCGCCCCGTGTGACGCTCTGCACCGCGCAATCGTAGGGTCTGAAACCTTATTCCAAGTCGTTTAAGGACGTAGCTGCAGCCGTTATGTAACAATTAAAATCAGTACTAGGTATTTCAGCGGAGCCTTGGATCAACAACATCCCTTCATCACAATATTTTCTTATCGGATCCAGTTATTTTAGTATGCCAACTGTAAACTTTCTAGTCAATAATGTTAATAAAAGTAATTCCAATCAAAATGATTTGTGAGGAGTACCCCCGGGCTCAACTTTCGACTAGTCGATTTCGTCGTACTAACAGTCTCCACTCTCCCGTCAGCTAATCCTGAAGCCCACGCCCGAAGGCTCCGGGCCGGGCGGCGAGTTCACGCTGGACGACGGCGTGCAACCCAGCGTGGACCTGGTGTCGCCCGAGAGAGACCTCATCGCGGCCACCTTCACGCAGCTGCTGATCGCCAACTGCGGCGGCGAGGACACGTTCAAGGTACGCGCCGGCGCCGCAGCCGCAGCGGGCGGGCGGCCGAGGCCTAGAGCACGCGTGGTGTTGCAGAACAAGCAGGACTTCTTCTACAGCGAGCTACGCAAGGCGCACGCGCGGCACCCGCACGAGAAGGTGGCCATCCGCGTGGTGCGCGCCGAGCTGGTCCGCTCCAGCCTCAAGGCCACCAAGCACTTCGCCGTAAACGACTGGTGCAAGAACTTCGACGTCACCTTCCAGGGCGAGCAGGGTCAGGCTCTCGTCTCTTTCTCAAACGAACGAGCGAGTGCCGCCTAACCGCCGACTGACCGGCTGTCTCGCAGGGGTGGACTGGGGCGGAGTGCGCCGCGAGTGGTTCTCGCTGGTGTGCGCGTCGCTGTTCGACGCCAAGTTCGGCCTGTTCGTGCCCTTCGGAGACTCCCCCGCGGGCCTGGTGCACCCCAACCCCAACCGGCCGCCGCACTTGAAGGTACGCCTCGTTCCGACGTCACGATCGATTCTGGCGTTCTCTGGCATGGCGATCAAAATGCGTCTCCTTAGGAATCAATGACATCAATCCATTTTTCGTTTATTATTCAATGACAATTATATTTTTTATTGATTTCTATGTGTGAACAATTCGACCCCTCCTACGTAAAGTATCGTATGTCGAAATTGCGAAGTTTACAGGGAAGTGTTTTAAAGTTTTGAATCCACTGAAAGGAACATAACAGGTGACTTTAGCATTTTTCAGTTTTATTCGGCAAACGGTTACTCACACAGAGTATTGTAAAATCCTACATATCGGTTAGATGATCTATTAGATTAGCTTTGTCGTGTTATGCTCGTTTCAGTGAATTCAGAACTTTAAAATGCTTCCCTGTAAACTTGGCAATTTCGACATACGATACTTTACGTAGGAGGTGTCGATTTGTGGCACACAGTTTGTACCGCCCTTCTGACTAAATGTCGTAAATAGTTTTTAATTTTATTATTTACTAAACACCATTACGCAAATTCAGCTCGTGAGAATGTCGTTTTATCTACGAGTTACATTCATATAAAAAGGTCGATTGATAATATATTACTTATTTGTTGCAATTCGCGCGCGTTATCTTTAATAATTCTATGTACATCAAACATATGAAACCAGTCCAGAATCTGGAGGCAGAAACAGATCAAAGTTTTCAATCTAATGTAATTATGAATATATTAATTTTATGATGTAGAAGAATTAATCATTTAAATATTCTTTCAACACGTAAAAACATTTGTAATTGCTTTAAAATTTTATGAAAAGTTTTGTCACATTGGTATTTTATTATTGGTCGTGAAATTTTTTTTAATTTTTATTGGTATTGAACTTGGGCTACTGCTATGTAAATTTTATTTTGATCCTCACTCGCATCAAATGGCAACACGATCACATATAATGCGCATGGGTCACCGTGGACGGCCAAACAATAGGCTTTTTTTTTTTTTTTTTTTTTTTATACACCTGACAGGCAAATGACTCCACTCCACCTGATGTTAAGTGGAAAGTGGTGGTGGCCAAACGCGAAGGAACCTAGTGCAGCGATGGAATCCTCACTGCACTAGCCGCCTCCACCCTGCCTGCCTACAATATGCCTCTTCACAAGATCTGTATATAGCATTGGCTTACATGGCGCCGGGGCACTTGTTACCCTCTCGTATAAATGACTGCGTACACTTGATTGCCGACGTCGCTAGTAAGTTCACTGATGATTTGTTTATATTTGCAGGCCATTTCAATTTATTTAATATAGCGTGGAATCCGTTGGGGCCGACACATTAAAAAAAAGGGAACGTCGATCGTCGATCTTCAAAATTCAGGAATACACTTAATAAATCAAGTAAATTTCTTGCGACTTCATCAAAGTAACACATTCACAAATAATACAGGAAATACATTAGATCTTTTCTTCACCAAATTAGACGTTAAATTAGCGCACCTCATCTTGCGCACTTGTAAAAGAGGACGTTCATCACACTACTCTTATTGTTGATGTGAGTGATTTATTAGTGAGTCGTTTGTCAAAGTTTCCTAGGAAGAAATTCTTAGTCTCCCTGGGCTCAGGGGTATCCATAAAGATTTCCCCCCCGTAAAAAAAAAAGGAAGAAATTCTTATTTCATAATCTTTCAAATAGAACTCAGTCTGTAATGGTGGAAGGCATATTTTCTGATGTTAGAAAAATTGACATCGGAGTTCCGCAAGGATCAATATTAGGACCTTTGTTATTCCTCGTCTATATTAACGACTTGCCACACGCATTGCCATCATGGTCAAATGTAAATTTATTCGCAGATGATACTTATGTAGGAATACCAGCCACAAATAAAATTCAAATGCTCGAAAAACAAACTTTTGTTATGGATAGTCTTAGTACATGGTATACCACAAACGGCATACTCCTTAATAAGAAAAAAACCGTTACCATAGAATACAAACCAAAGTCAGAAAAAAGCACATTGACACTAGATATACCACATTTTTAGGATATGTTATTCATGACACATTGACTCATTCTCTTCACAATGACAAGATATGTAAACAACCCTCAGCGGCAAATTATGCCTTACTTAAACTTAAACCACTATTGAATAAAGAATTTTAAGTGTATACTATGCCTATATTCAATCAATTATTGGTTATGCTGTAACTGTCTGGGGAAATTCTTCTGATATTGAGAGAGTGTCGGTCTTGTAAAAGCGAGCAATACGAATTATCGCAGGTATTCACAAACATGTATCTGCTAGAGAGTACTTTGTTAAATATAGAATAATGACCGTAATTTCATTGTATATATACTGATCATTATTAGAGATACATAAAACAAAAAATGATATGGCGAAGATATCAGACATACATACATATAACACGAGAAGTTAACATAAAATAGTAACAAATAAAACCAGATTAGTAAAAACGTTAAAACAGGGCGTAAATATGAAAATTAACAAGTGCAATAAACTACCAGTTAGTGTATCTGACTTGAAAATGGCTACATTCAAGCAAACATTAAAACTTTACTTAGAAAATCATGCTTTTTATAAAATCTACGAATTTATGGATTCAAATCTAAGTGAATATTAATTTTCTTAAAAAATCATAATGTTAAGACTTTACTAGTATGTATACCTATATAATTTAAGTCTGTGTTTTCTGTAATTTGACTTACCTATAGGCAATGTGTTGTCTTGGTGAACAAATCATTTGACTTTGACTTTGATACTTTTTCTTTATTGAGAAAAAGGATGAAGATTATGCAAAGCGAATGTTAACAAAAATATATATTACGTTGCCAGGATAACATCAAATCTAACCCTAAATTACTTTTGTCGTACATTAACTCTAAACGCAAGCGTAACGCAGGTTATCCAGGTTCAATGACATACGAGGGTAGGCAGTTGGTGGACGGCGATACTATTTGGTCCATTCAATCATTGTTTCGAGAAAATGTTTATTCCCCCAGCAAAGTGTTACCCAAATGAGGAGCAACCTTCAGTTAGTATTCGTGATTTAATACATTCTTTATCGGTCTCTCAAAATGAAATTTCTAGGCTGCTTTCTGTGCTGGATGTTCGGAAGTCTCCTGGTAGTGATCAGATCCCGCCTTCATTTATAAATAATTGCGCCGTGTCTCTCTCTTTTCCTTTAAGTATCATTTTTAACCGTTCTATACCAAATGGAGTTCTTCCCTCAAATTGGAAAGAAGCCCATATTATTCCTATTCATAAAAAGGATTCAAAATGCAGAATAGAGAATTACCGACCAATATCCATTTTGAATGTTTTTGATAAATGTTTAGAAAGGGTCGTTTACAAAAGTATTTTATAATAATAAATATTTAAATCAATATTATTAAAACAGAGTATACCTGATGAGCAGCATGGTTTTGAAGGAGGACGATCAACAGTCTCAAATTTAGGCATTTATATGAGTCACTTGCACCGGAGTATGGGTACTCATTCTCAGGTTGATGTGGTCTATACGGACTTCGAAAAAGCTTTCGACGGCGTAGATCACTTTATACTTTTGCGGAAGCTTTTTCTGCTGGGAATACGTGGAGACCTGTACAGATGGATTAAATCGTATATTTCGAATAGGAAACAAGCTGTAGTTATAGGTGGAAATCGCTCTGACTTCATCAGTATACCTTCCGGCGTACCACAGGGCTCACTACTCGGTCCGTTATTCTACATAGCTTTTATTAGTGACATTAGCTCCTGTTTTAAGTATGCAAAATTTTTACTTTATGCTGATGACACAAAAATTTATATGACGGTCAAATCCCGAGAAGATTGCTTAAAACTGCAAGAAGAGTTAAATCGGCTTTCGCAGTATTACATTACTAACAGAATTACTGTTAACGCGGCAAAGTGTATGCGTATACAGTTCACAAGACGCCAAAAAGCCATTGAATACGATTTCAAATTGAATAACACATTTTTGAGCAAGGTGGATGTCGTAAAGGATTTAGGTGTTTATTTGGACTCAAAACTAACGTTCGCTAATCATTTTGAGCACATAACCAACCAACAAGGCATATAAAAATTTGGGGTTCATTTTTAGAGTGACCAAGGGTTTCAGGAAAGCATTCTTGAATACTGCTGCACTATTTGGAACCCACAGTACATTAGATACAAACACGCTGTCGAACGCCTGCAAATAAAATTCATAAAATATGTAAATTTTCGTACTAATAACATACTAAACGATTACAGGAAGTCGTGTAGTAAATATGGCCTCACTACACTTAGCTATAGACGTCGTATGCGAGATATTGCTGTTTTGTACGATATATATTCAGGAAAATTAGATTGTACAGAATTAGTTAATAGGATAATCAGCTTAAAAGCTCCTAAGAAAAGGTCACGTCATACGGAGTTTTTTCATGTAGCGCTTGTACGGACAAACTATGAGGCTATCGACATGACCGTGAGATTGCCTAAAACATACAACAAGTATTTTTCTGACATTGACCTGTTTTCTATGCCTAGAACTACATTTAAAACTGCTTTGCTTGGGAACATGAGAGGTATAAATAAATAAATTTAAAAAAATGTATTTATTCCTCATTTTATTAATTAATCGACATTAACTTTATATAATTTATTTGAATTTAACTCAATTATTATAATTGAATCATTTTACTTTAACTTATTTTCTTAAACAGTGTTATTTGCGTCGATGTCGCACTAACGATGCGAGCAGTTTCTTTATTTGTTAGTTTACCTGCCTAGGACATATATACCTACACAGACCTATACACGATAATTTATACCAGTAATTTACAGTTTGTTGTGAACTCAGTTTTTATTGTACCAATTTAAATTTATTTTTCTACCCGATGTTGTAATCATAATATCACATGTTTTGTATACATAGTGAGTTTCTGTAATTGGCTTTTGTACTGCTTAAACACATTTGTCAAATAAGTTTAAGAATGCTGTTGAAACTTTGTTCATTGAATAAAATAAAATAAAATAAAAAAATCCTCTCACTAAAACTAAGTTATTTTATAATCTTGTATCAAAGCGTCGTCTTTGGTTTTTTTAACTTTATTAGTCGAGTACTTTCACTGTTCGATTTTCATAGCAATTAATGACAAGAGGGTCGACATGAGGAGTAAATGGTAAATTTATAAAAGAACGAGCTGCTATTAATGTGCGGACGGAAACGTCTACTTATAATTTTGATGGCGAATATATTATGTGCGTGTGCGCGCTATTAAGTCCACCTGTATTCAGTTGAAGCACTTCGAGTTCGCGGGCAAGCTGGTGGGGAAATGCCTGTACGAGAGCGCGCTGGGCGGCAGCTACCGGCAGCTCGTCAGGGCCAGGCTCACCAGGTCTTTTCTGGCGCAGATCATCGGCCTCAGGGTGCACTATAAGGTGACCATCCGTCTTACTTACGTTATTCGCTGCGAGTCGTGTAAGAACATGGAGATATCTGTTGCCCACGTATAATAAGTAAACTATACTTACTTTTATCATCACCAACCGTTGATATGTCCCACTGCTGAGCAGGGTCTCCTGTGCGGAGAGGGTTTAGGCTGTAGTACACCATACATTGCGTGTCGAGAACTTCACACGTTTTCCAAGGGCTGTGAACCTTTTTGAACGTGCAGTTTCCCTCACCGTTCGCGAGAGGTATTGCTGACACATAATGTACACAGCTTAGAAATTAAAGTCATAGGTACACGGTACTACCAGGACTCGAACCATCGCCCCCTACATTTTTCACGAACAATAAATTGATGTGGTTAAATACTCCTGTTTTCTGTTCTTATATCCCGTAGTACTTCGAGCAAGACGACCCAGAGCTGTACCTGTCGAAGATCAAGTACGTGCTGGAGACGGACCTGGACCAGGCCGAGTCGGTGCCGGAGCTGTACTTCGCCGAGGACGTGTACGACAGCCAGGGTCGGCTGGTCGAAACGCACGACCTCATTCCTGGAGGGTCCACTATCAGGGTACACATGGCTTATTCTCATCTCATTGCACTTAACAGTTTAATCCACAACTGTTCATTATTGTTTCATTTGATATTTTCAATTAATATTTCTACTAGTATGCATATAGGTAATATTCTCAAATGAATTGACTGGGGTGACAAAGGGTGGTAGAGCGTTCCAATGACGTCACCGGATCCAGTGAAAGGGCTTTGAGTTTTTAAGTTTTTTATGCGGTATATTTCAAAATGTTAGGTTAGAAATTTCCCACTCTATACCAGTATTGTAGTACGTTAACTAAAAACGCATAGCCCTCTTCAATATCCAATATTCATTGAAAGCTAGATAATTCCCTATGCTACGAGTAGCAGAATAACAAAATTCACTCCACTTCATTCAGACCAGAACAAATTTAGAAAATTGGAAATCGGACCCGAGAGCTCATATAGCGCCCACAGCGTTAGGCTTGCGTTAAGTCGTCAATTTTATCTTTAGTCTCAGTTTATTCTTCGTATGTAAGGAAACTACAATTGTAATTGCTTTTATTACTTCCACTACTGCCCTATTCGACCCCTCCTACGTAAAGTATCGTATGTCGAAATTGCCAAGTTTACAGGGGCGCGTTTTAAAGTTCTGAATTCACTCATCTTATAGATCATCTAATCGATATCTAGGATTTTATAATACTCTATATGAGTAACGAGCTTCGCCGAATAAAAGTGAGAAATGCTAAAGGCGCGTGTTATGCTCGTTTCAGTGAATTCAGAACTTTAAAACGCTTCTCTGTAAATTTGGCAATTTCGACGTACCATACTTTACGTAGGAAGGGTCGTATTAGGGTGGTAATAAATATTCGTTGTATCATTGCATTTATTTCCTCGTAATTGCGATGGAAAACATTGTATGTAGTACGGGCGGTAGAAAAAGGTCGGTATTATAACTGCCTCCGTGACCGAACGGTTACCATGCCGGACTGCTACGCAGAAGTCCCAGGTTCGATTCCCAGACCGGCAAAAAATATTCGTATGGCCTACATTTATTTCTTTTGTGAATTTGGATTAATTTATCTATGTGTTATTTTTTGTATTGGTATTTGGCACCCGCGATACAGGGTTTCCCTAGTGCCCCTATATTGAGTGTGTGCGTTATTATAATGATTATATCTTCAAAATGACCTGATCAGCATAAGGACTTAATCATAAAACGTAAAATTGTAAACCTCGAGTCATTAAAAACTTTAGCCTTCGGCTTTGGACTTCTGCTAGACTCTTGTTGTGTGAGTAAGTGTAAATAGAAACGCGTCTGCGCTCCGCGTCGTTTTTTAGTCACAATATACGCGTCAAGAAGAGTGGTTGCGTTCGATTATTGTCTCCCCAGTGACTCCCTCTGGCGGTAGGTAATAGTGACCATGAGGCGAAAAATTCGGATCGCTAGCAATTTTCAACCACGAAGTGGACGAGTGAGTCTACAAGGACAGACTGCGACATTGGTTCCTAGTAAACGATTTCATTGAGGAAGGAGACAGGCGGTGGCAATTGCCGAGTAGTCTAGCAGAATCTATCTACAGATTAGTGCGCGATCTGGCGTTGCCGGAATCTCTCGAGAAACCAGCATAAGTGGATTTAGTGAAGTTACTCGATGAACATTTTCAATGTAAAAAAGTGCGGGTTTGCGGAAAGACATACATTCCACAGTGCAACTGGAAACACAATCGAGACTATGGCAGAATTTAATTCTCGGGACGGTACACCGAACTCGATAAACTTTTTAGTGTGAATATGGCAGAGGTCACAATAAAGCGGTGGACAGCTGCTGCAGGTATAGTTGAAGAAATATTATTTGCACCAATTAATGTTATCTCTTGGAACGGCTTATCTTTTCTATTATACATATATACATTGTAATGTAGTAATAAAACCATTATCACTTCTTTTACTCGAAGCGTACATGGACTTAATGATCTTGGTCCACCGTACGAGTCGTCATTGCGCTAAATGCTTTTTCTGATTTTAGTTTTGAATTATTTCTTTAATAATCAGGCCGTTTTTTTAAACCTAACCAAACAAACTTATTTTACGGTAAACAGTATCGTAAAATAACTTTACTTACTAATTCAGCAAAGTTAGTTCCGCACAAAGATAACCAAGTTTAGAATTAAGTGCTAATGCGTAGTGTTTAAAGTGACACTACAGACGGCACGTGCGTTACCGAGACGGCTCACTCTTCTGTCTTGTTGTACTCTAAAGATGAAGCGATAAGACGAATCGGTGCAAAAATATTTCGCTAAGTATAACAGCGCGGGCCATCAGCGAGCCGCGCGCCGGTCTGCATCACGCACGCAAGCGGTGCCGAGTGAAACGACATTTGGAGAAGACGCGTCCGTAACCGAATCCCGAGGGTGGCGCGGAGGATCACGACGATGTCGTATTCTCCGTAATCTTCGCACGATCGGGGGCGAGCCCGTGAAAGAACCCGTCGTGACAAATCAAAATACCCTAAATTCTGAAATGGACACCGGTTCCACAGTAATCATCATGCCAGAAAGTAGTTACAAAGCGTTGTTTTCCAATTACAAAAAAACAACCGAGTAAATTAGTTTTGCAAAGCTTATTTGCAAAATTTTTTTTATAATACCAAGTGACAGGACTAACACGTCGTGCGCCTAATGGTAAGCTACACGTCTGTCCGTAACAGTTGCAGTGCCACTCAGAGCTTTAAGTCGCAAAGATTTGAGGGGCACTGCCACTGCGCCCGACACTCTAAGCCATAAGTTAATAAGTCCCATATTCCTGTAATTTCTCCAGCATCCTTTAAAACCCAAACGCAGTAATGCTCACATTACTGCTTGGTGACAGAAATAAGTAAAGTAGCAGTACTTCCCTGGACGAACTCTTTCACAAGGAGCTCCACTGCTTCTTAAAATCACCAACATCGACACGTTGGTCACGTTAAAATTACCGTTTTTATATAGGAAGGTGACACACGATGTCACTATGTATATGGTGAAGGGCCAGTTCATTACCATTAGGCAGAAACTTCGTGTCAAAGTTCAAACTAAATCTGTGACCAATAAATTATTGCGAGGGGATTTACGTGATATCACATAGGTTGGTCACATTAAGTATTTCAATGCCTGTCCAACATTCCAAATACGCTAGTCCAATCGTTCCCATTCTTAAGCAACATTACGTTTATGCGTCGGTTATTCGGTTGCATTAAACAAACATTTACTTGAATAGACGAACTTTTTACTAAGCTGAGTTGGACAATAATTTTCTAATCTTGTTTGTCGTGTGTATATAATCAAATAAGGTTGTCTGATGATTCATAGTTGTTAACAATAATAAACACACACAAAGGCGTTTACAAATACGCGAGCTTTGTGTTTGGTGAATGCCAAGTGTCGATAAATTTAAAAAAAACTGTAGATTAAGGGGATTGTTACACAGAAACTGGTATATCTTCGTATATTGAAATACAAAGGGGAGGAGGAGCAGAAGGAAGACTGCGGAGAGGCACCTCATGGATTGTCAGTGTCGCCGCAAGGGAGCGGGTTTCTAATCGTGTCCCCGGTGCTCCAGGCTCAGGTACTTTCCTCTTCTGGGCCGTCTGATGGAGTCGACGCTGACGCCGAGCGCCGCCCCGAGTGCGACACCGGCCCCGGCGTGGAGCCAGTCGTGCCCGAGTCCGCCGCGCTGGAAGCCTGTACTCAACCCCTACGAAACGTCTTCGGAATAAAATAGGCTGTCGAAAGTTCTCTTAGTTGTAAGAAATAAAAGTGGGGGGACGTTATGCGCCCCGCGTCGTTTTTTAGTTACAATATACGCGTCAAGAAGAGCGGTTACAGCGGGTAGTTGACAACGTTCGTTAGAATTTGTTGTATGTCGTCGGCCGATAGCCGAGGCCCCCGTCGCACCCCCAGCCTCGCCCCCACTGAGCCCGGCCGCCCGCAGGTGCGCAACGGCAGCAAGGCGCGCTACGTGGACGCGCTGGCGCAGTGGCGCCTGAGCGCGCGCACGCGCGGCGAGACGGCCGCCTTCCTGCGCGGGCTGGCGCTGCTGGTGCCCGCCAACCTGCTGGCCATCTTCGACGAGAACGAGCTGGAGCTGCTGGTGTGCGGCACGGGCGAGCTGTGCGTGGCCGACTGGCGCGCGCACGCGCTGGTGTCGGGCGCCGGCCGCGACTGGGAGCGCCTGCTGCTGTGGTTCTGGGCGGCGCTGCACAACTTCAGCAACGAGGAGCGCGCGCGCCTGCTGCAGTTCGCCACGGGCTGCGGCCAGCTGCCGCCGGGCGGCTTCCAGGAGCTCAACCCGCGCTTCCAGATCACGCCGGCGCCCACCTTCGGCGCGCTGCCCACGGCGCACACGTGCTTCAACCAGCTGTGCCTGCCCGACTACGACAGCTACGAGCAGCTGGTGCACGCGCTGCTGTGGGCCATCAACGAGGGCGGCGAGGGCTTCGGCATGATCTGAAATTCTTCTTTCTCACTGCGCATGGCGTTTCCCGCGTTCCTTCGGCGCCACCGTTGGCCGTACTCTGGTGACGTCTGTTTCTCATCAAATTCCGATTCGCTAGTTGCGCCACTAACAGAGTCCACCTGTCACAAACCCGCGAACGAACGAAAAATGAAAAGGTAAGCAAAAAACAGAATCGGACCAATACACGCTGTTAACTTGCTACTGTGCAATTGTATCCATTGTAACGGACGAACCTCTTCACTCATCGCGTATATATTTAAAAAAAACCTTTAAAAATATATACAAGGTAACTTTTTGTATCGCGATGTTTTGGGTGATGATTTTACCCATCCATACCTTTACCAACACATTTACAATGACGACAACCCTCAAACCGCGAAAGAAATCACCATGGATACGATCCCTGTAATGACAATTACTCGCATTGTTCAAAAGAACAAAAACTGCCGGAGTCGTAAAAATTTATTTCATATTCATGGGTAAAATTACACCCTAATATGCCGCGGGGAAAGAAAATCACCTTTTATTAAGCTGTGAATTATTATTATTACGACTGTAATTATTCAATTTATTATTACAGCTGCGTTTAGATGTAAATGTGTTAAGAAAAAGATTAGGCAAAGCCTAAACGAAGTCATACAGGATCTCGTGCTAGTCAGAAAATACTGTCATTGCTTCATCGCATTTACTAGCATTGTAATAAAATTGTAAATAAATTCGTTGTGATGTTTCGAATTAAATGGGATACCTTTTCAAGTCGTAACAAATGACGACATTTATCCAATGATTAGGGGGTTACCCCTGAAATGACTATACCACTAAAATTCATTGATGATTGCGCCCAGAATGATAGTAGGGAACGCTACTATCATTTTGAACATTCTACTACGGGTTATTCCATTGATTGTTTAATTGTACAATTATTCATTGTTGTCTAATTCAACGCAACAACTGGACGTAGTTAAGCAAAAGGGACCCAATCCACAAAATTATAAAAAAATGAGTATACACATACCAAACGGTTTCTAAAGTCTAACCTCACAAATAAATATCTCTGGAGTTAAATGAAATTATTACGTTTAAAAATAAACCAAGAGTGAGAAACATTTTTAAACTTCAAACTGCCATATCGAAAGTGACTGGATGTGCATGGGATCCTTTTTGTTATACTACGTCCAACTTATACATACTCTAAATATAAAAATATGCAATTTGAACTTTCAACTTTGAACTGTAATTACATTAATGCTCTTAGAAATTAATAATATAGCATATAAATGGTAAAACAATTGAAATATTGTATAATTAGTAAATATAGGTACAATATTTCTATATATTGACATAGTTACTTCTTGGTAATTTACATTTCCGGTACGAGGAATAAGAGCAAAAGTAATTTTATAATAATACAGGGATTTGTTGTATTTATAATAAAATACATAAATTAATTTGAATATTGACATGGCCTTTTATAAAACAAAATATATAACAAATATTATGCTTATTACAGACAACACACATCCGTAACTCTAGTTTCTTTTTTCTTTTTGTTGGAGTTGAAGGTACAAAATTAAATTTACATAATATATCTTGTATTTATGTCTATTAATTGATTCTATTTACTTATGTATTATATTCTTGTGTTTACGGGAGAAACAAATGTGTTTCCTGGCAACGAAATCGACCAAAAGGCTTCAATGACTTATTATTATCCCCATTAATTCGAGACTTCACTGTTTAGACTAATTAAACATAGTAGTTTAAACGTTAATGTTAAAATAAATTATAGAAAATACATTAAGTCTTAATTAGATAAGGGAACTTGTCCTGCCACCACGGTCTGAGGTCCACGTAGAAGAATTGAAGGAGACAATAACGAGCGTGTCGGTGTTCTAACTGTAATGTGTGAAGAATGCATGAAATACACGGGTCACTCGGAGAAGATTGCATTTATACTTTCCAGGAATTCATTTATAAGTCAAGTATAAGCATGCCTACATTACTTATTATAAAAAATACTAGCTTTACGATTCCTAATCATTTGACTTTGAAATCTTATTACTAAGCCAATAGTTACAAACACCGAAATTACAAACGTTGTAGTTTTACGACCACGCCATCTATTGGCGTTATGGAGTTAACACCAACATCAATATCTTTTCCGAATAACACCGTACATACCGCATGGCCGCACATCGAATTTCTCGACGTTTTTAAAAATAATACGTTCTCTCCCATTATTCACTTCGTATTTTGGAAATGGGCTATGTGGAGATAATTGTCATTTTAGTTGTCGATAAAGCTGCCATTTTAGTAGTCGCCATTGATGCGCACCTGTCCTCATTTAGCTGGTGAGACTTGAAGAAGAGTCCGTTTCTCATCACAAGATCAAGTAGTGCAATACATATATTCATAGCAAGAAATAAAATACTCCTCTTGTAGTTACGTAGATTTGAAGTAAAGAAAGAAAAACTAGAACATTATTAGTCTCATTCTCTCATATATATAAATAGGTAGACAGTTAGGTGTTTGGACCCAAAATTTAAAAATATTTGTAAATATTTACCTGTTCATAGTTGGTAGTCAGTAGGAATGTATGCCGACTATCAAGCACAGAGGTCATTTTCAGCTTACAGTGACCTTACCGTACATATATAATTGGTTCATGGCTAATATTTATTTAGTGATTACTTTGTTCCCGATTGATTATAAGGTAGGTTGATCATTCTCATTCTTATGTCCTCATATTCTAGACAGACACCAGGTTCTAGGCTTTCTGGAGAAACGGGATTTGAAGTTTGACTAAAAATCTACATATACAATTCTAAGCATTTTTTTCCTATTTTTTGCATTACAAACTATTTTCACAGCGTTAGCCATTTCAGCGTGTGAATGGTGTAACCTGGTCGTAATTACGCCTACGCCAGTATAATACTTATATCTATAACGGTTATGCCTATAATCCTACAAACATAAAATTTAAAACGATTGCCGCTGGACCAAACATTACCCGTGAGACATCAAATGTTTTGATAGTACTTTCTCAATGTCTTGAAACTAATAGGCCCGTTTTGACAACTAAGAGACGATGGAATGTAACTTTGAATAAAGTCAACGAAATAATAAACAAATAAATGGATGTATTATGTTTTAAAAAGAAACATTTATTGTACTAGCGGAGTTCTAAGAAGACAGAGCACATTTCATGTATGTATTACTTTGCGCGAATTCCAAATTGAAACGCAATTATGAGTTAGTATTCTTACCAATTCTACCACGTAAAAATACTAACTCA